AAATAATTCAGCCTGTCTTTTTGGGAAAAATTATTAATTATTTTGAAAATTTTGATCCCTTGGATGTTGCTGCATTGAATTTTGCATACATCTATACAGCTGCTTTGTCCGCATGTACATTGATTTTAGCCATAACACACCACTTATACTTTTTTCATGTACAACGGTCTGGCATGAAGTTGAGAGTAGCAATGTGTCACATGATTTATCGGAAGGTAAGCAACCTTTCATTTTTCAAATGTGTATGTATATTAATTAGTTATTAGAGTAATTAATTTCATATTAAGAATGTGAATTATTTTTCACTCTTGCAATAGTTTTGAAGACATGGCTTTTGAAGGACCAGGGTATAAATCTATATGCATGAAAATCAGACTTAGCATTATATGTTTGTGTGTGTGTGTGTGTGTGTGTGTGTGTGTGTGGATTTTTTTTTAATACTGCACTCACATATTATACTATGTAATTTTGTAGGCTATTGCCTGCGGCCCAGAAGATATGGGGAAATGGAACTGCTGAGTGTGTGCTCTTTCTCTTCCACTTTAGATATGCAAGTTTAGTAAAACAAATAGGGAAACAACCAACTCCTGGGAAGGGAAGAGGAGAATTCATGTCCAGAACATGGCGGAGCTAAGCCCTTCTTGTGCCTCAAAATGAATGTGGGATTATGTTTGGGGAGCAGGGGCAGAGTTGTGTCTGCCTCTTTGGCCATCCAGAGAGGCCTTTAGGGGAGTGGAGTAGCTCACAGCCTTCTCCTCTCAATGTAAGGCCTCTCTAAGGCTACGTCTACACTGCAGAGTTCTTGTGCAAAAACTCGTGGAGCATCCACGTTTTTGCACAAGAAAATTTACAGTACATCGTAAGAAAAGAGGGCTTTTTGCACAAGAGTTATTCCTCTTTCTATGAGGAATAAGTCTTTTTGTTCAAGAGCTCTTGCACAAAAAGGTGTGTAAGGATGGCAAACAGGGGTTTCTTGCACAAAAATAGCGTATCGGAAAAAGCACAGTTGCTCTCTTGCACAAAAGCACATCACTTTTCCGGTGCGCTTTTGTAGTGTGGACGCTCTCTTGTGCAATAACTTTTTGAGGAAGATCTTTTCTGCAAAATGGTTCTTGCGCAAGAAGCCTGCAGTGTAGATGTAGTCTAAGTGTCCAGGGGTCCCTTACAGTATTATTGTCCCAGCCTCTCTCCCTGTAGTTCAGCTGTTTTCCCAGGATGCCGTGTCTCTGACTGGGATCAAGTAAGATTTTATTTCTTGACAGGTCCAGAGGGTTTTCACTCAGTTCAGGTTAAAAGGAGTAAGAACAGGAATTTAACAGTAAGAGGAATACAGAAGTATTAGACTGTTGCAACATGTGTATGATGTCCAGTGCAGATGAAAGCTCAAAGGGCCAGGTCCCAGAGCTAAATTTGAATTGGGAAGTATCTGGTGAACTTATTACTGTAAGAAGGGGAGAGCTGAAGTCTTTACAGACTGAATTCCCCCTTAGTACCCGTTGCCTCCTTCGTGCTGAGAAGAGTTAGTTAGAAATAAGTCATAAGGATTAGGCTGAAGAAGATTTGCCCTGAGTTCCTGGTTATAGTGAAGTCCTTCGACTCTGTACTGATCTAAAAGCCCAACTAAAAGCCTGCTATGAGAGTGGGGGTGGGCAGATAGTATCATAGAACCATAAAATATAAGGGATGGAAGAGACCTCAGGAGGTCATTTCATCCAAACCTCTGTGGACCAACCCCGAATAAGTCATCCCAGCCAGCCAAGTGGGGCCTTAAAAACCTGTAAGGATAGAGATTCCACCACTTCCCTAGGGAGCCCATTCCAGTGCTTCACACCTCTCCTAGTGAAATAATTTCCCTAATATCCAACATAAACCTCCCTCCATTGCAACTTTAGACCATGTAATTACCCCCACTGAAAGTTAACAAGTTGCTTATTCCACTCTCCATCTTCATCTCTGCACTTACCTCATTTAGAGTGAAGTGAGAGGGAAAAATGTGGGAATAATGTCTTAGTTCATATTAGTCTGGTGTATTGTTTTTATTCACATATTTTTCCTTCTCCATCTTGTAATATAGGTTGAACCTCTCTAATCCAGAACTCTCATCCAGAAGCATCTGTCATTCAGAATGATTTTAGTTAGCTGGATGTCCACTTTTCATGGTGTTCCCAAGTTTTCGACAGTCCCATAAAGTTTGTTTACAGCCACCAATCCTTGCTTTTAGTGTTCTGTGCTGTTATTTAGCTCTAATTGACCCCTAAATGTCCTCTAACAGCACAGTAAGCATTGGAAATGTTGGTAATGCTGCTAGACAATATTGACTTGCTGTGGTCCAGAACATTCTCTCATTCAGAACTGATCAGGTCCGAGGGTTCCGGACTAAAGAGGTTTAACCTGTACTTTGGAAATTATCCTCTGGGAACTCAGTTGTAATATGGCACACTACTTTCTTGTACATGAAGATGTCTCTCAGGAATTAAATTACCCTACTGATCATCATAATACACTTTGTTTGAAATTCATGAAATATTCATGTCGCGAGTGTTGTTTGTTGCAGTGTTGATATGCGCTTGGAGGGCTGAAAGGCAAAATGTTCACATTCTGCACTGTTATTCCTAGGCATGCTTAAATAGAAATTAATCTGTGTTCATCTCATAAAATTTTACTTCCCATGGTGAAGGTTGAGGTCATGGCAGAGCACTGATATACTTTGCAATCAGTTGTTCTCATTTGAGGTGCATGGATAAGTCACACTTTTTATCAATCATTGATCTACACTTTTGAAAGAGAAGCTGAATGCTAATTTCCCAGTACTTTTGTGGCATTCATCAATATCTATAGTAAATACAACCATTCAGTGAGTGGTGGCTGGGTGTCATTATGTGTGCTGGTTTTGTTAACATAGTAAATAACAGATTCCTAGTATTGAAGCTTAAATGGTTGTAGTTACTTAAATTTTTGAACTCCTTTCCCCTTCCGATGAAGCAATGGAAAACTTGTTTTATCTGCAGAACAAACCATTATCTATTTGTGATATCAAAACTCCAAAAAGATCTTTTGTGTACGCCAAAAAGTATTAGTAATAAGATGCTTCACCCACATAATCTGTTGCAAAAATGGAATTAGAATCCAAATTTTATGACTAGTTCTCAGTCCCTTACTGTAACACAAAGACCATCAATGTAGTGCTTATTTTGAAAATAATTGGCTTTAGTTTCTATGGATTCACAGCAATTTGAAACAGGGAGAGAACAAAGATCTAAGAAGGGAGACCAGAATTAGTTAACCTTGCTGAAAAACAAATTATAATCCGTAGATTAATGTCAGAGAACAAAGTAGAACTGCCTATAGTAGGAGGAAGGAAATAGACAGAAGACCAATGAGCTCATATATGAAAGAAGGCAACGTTTTAGAAGATGACAGCATTGGCTGTAGGATTTACCCTACTTCTCCACAGCAATCATTAATGATTTTAAATAATTATAGCCTGTTCTTTTACTTCCAAATATAGCCCAGTCATGTGTTTTACAAGGAGTTGCTACTATATGGAAAATGCAAAGGGATATTAACCAAACTCTTTTTGTGTTAGAAGGAGATAAACGTTTGACAAATAGAAATATTTTCAAATTAAGGTGTTTTTTTAAATAATTTGTAACTAAAAAAAAAATCAGCTTGGTAAATGTTCTTCAATCTCTCCAGAAGTTCTTTTTTGCCTTTAGAGTAAATCTGACAATTTTCAGGCCAGACCAACATTCCTAGCCAGTAATTTAGTGGATGGGGAGAGAGATAAAATAGTTTTTTGTGGATTTTTTTTCCCTGGAACCTGGTTACAATTTTAAGACTATTGCTTGGTGTTTGACATTGCCACTTCCCTAGACTTAGGTGTAGGCTGGTTACTTTTGTTGGAAAACACAAATGTTTCTCTGCAATGTTGTTTATGATAAACATGCTATGTTGAGTGCAGCTAAGCTGCAAGAGTTGCCAATAACTAAAAGAAGGCTTCTCCTCTAGCCACAGAGTGGTAGCAAATGATAGAGTGAACATCAGGAATTGCTGTAGGTGTGCCCAGATGTGCACCTTCTTCAACCCTGAGGCAGTCTTTAGAAACTGTACTATTAATCTGGGAAACATCTGTCTGATTGCTTTTTCTGAAGATACCAGCCTGGATCTTTGTAGGATGGGCAAGTTGGGACTGCACTATTTAAGCAGGTTAGATGGGAACTAGAAAAAGAAGGGAACGTTGGTGAAATATAACACACTAACCTAACTAGTTAGATATGTATCTAAGACCACTTTGAAGTTTAGACATTTTACTGATTAACTGGCTGTCTTTTCTATTCACACAGATAACTGTGCTTAAAGTTAAGCACATGCTCGTGTCTGTGTGGGATCATGTCTTTCAGTTGTATGCTTTTAGGAGATGAGATTATTTGGCAATATTTTAAGTGATAATGCAATATAAATAACTCCAAAAACTATTTGAGCTGCCTTTTAAAAGTATATTTAAATTATAAAGTGAGCATCATTAAAAATCTTGGCATTTCCCCTCCTGCATCTTCATAATTATAGTACCTTTATTTTGATATTTGCAGTGTCCCTATTCTTATCATTGGAAGATTGGGACAAAGCCTCAGCTGATCAAATTGAGACTTTCAGAAGAGAGACTTCCAATCTAGTTTTGCTCAAGTATTCTTGATGGAGGATGCATGTAAAGCGAGGTTTTTTTGAGGGTGGAGGGTGGAGAGGGGAGTTGGTTCAGGTTTAATATTTTGCCATATTAGCTTGATTAGTTCCAAGTAATTTCTGGAAATGCAGAGAAAAATAGGTTTTTAATATCAATTCTGATCCCCCCAAATATTATTCTATGTGTGTTCATTACTTCAGAGCGAAACCTTAATCACAAGCCAATATTTTAATTCAGGCCTTTCAACTGCAGTTCCAAAAATTCTCATGTGTGCTCGTCTTAAAAATACCTTATAATTTGTCAATAGTACATCCAGGCTTTGGAAGAGATGACATATCTATTCCGATGCCATGTAATATATTAGTTAATTTAAAATGCTTGACTTTTTTTTCCCATTTCAGGCGCTTCGTCTCAGTAATACAGCTTTGGGGAAAACTACCACAGGTCAAATAGTAAATTTTTTATCAAATGATGTGAACAAATTTGATCAGGTAAGACAATTCTGGTAAGGAGATAAGAGATGGATGTAAGCTGAAATATTTGAGCACTACAGGATATGAGGTTTTACTTCACAATCGTTGTTAAAGTGACAGCTTAGGCCCATAATTTAGTATTGATTGTTAAACATGGTTTTACCAAACATATTAATAGCAATGTCTTCTTGAAATTGAAAAAAAGTTTTCTTTTTGTGTGTAGATATACAGGCAGTCCCCGGGTTACGTACAAGATAGGGACTATAGGTTTGTTCTTAAGTTGAATTTATATGTGAGTTGGAACTGGCTCCAGATTCAGCCGCTGCTGAAACTGATCAGCGGCTGACTACAGGAAGCCCTATGCAGAGTTGCTTTGCCCCCGGCTTCCTGGAATCAGCCGCTGATCAGTTTCAACAGCAGCTGAATCTGGACTTCTGGGACAGAACAGCTGGGGCGCTGCCGGGTAGGTCCCTGCAGGACCAACCCGGCAGCACCCCAGCTGCTCTACCCCAGGGGTCCCGCAACAAAAGCCTGGTCTGCTGGGGGGGGGGCTGGCCTGGGGTAGAGCAGCTGTGCACAGCAGGGAGACAGGAGCAAAGCCGCAGAGGCGGGGGGCCCCGCCGCCTGTGCGGCTTTGCTCGGGTCTCCAATCTGTGCTGGGGAGTCCCCCCCAGCACACCAGGGAGATCCGGAGCAGCTTTTCTCGCCCCGGAGGACGCGGTGGCGGGACCGGTGCGCTCTGGGCGGTCCCGCCGCCCACGAGCTCTGGGGCGAGAAAAGCCCCGTTCGTAAGTGCGGATCCGAAGTAAGTCAGATCCGCGTAAATCGGGGACTGCCTGTACCTGCTGTGTTTTTAAACCTCTGCATAGTGCTGGTCCATGTAAGTGTGATAAAGTCAACTTTGCAATTAGCTGAATTATTTGAAAAGCTTTTGGTTTTAGTTTTTAAAAGGTTACGTTGAGTGAACTGAAACACATTTTAAAACTCTTCATTTTCGTTTTTAAGTTGCAATTCAACCAGGATTATTGTAATAACCAAGAAATGCTTCTATGCTTTATAATAAGGTATCCTGGGCTGAACTGATATCCCAAGGCTATGTTGCTGTTGAATTAATAGGCAGAACCGTACTGTTATGTGTGTTATACTAGAATATTTTAAATGTAAACAAAATATTTAAAAAAACCCCACAAATTCATTAAAAGAACATTATTAAAATTCCAAAGTCAAGTGTACAAAAGTTAGAAAATGCATTACAAACTCTAATTTCACTGCTTTTCCCCCACACAGCCCCCTCTGGTTCAGTGCATGGGAAGGATGGAACTCAATGGACAGACACTCAGTGTTTTGTTTAATCAGTTATGGCCGCAGGTGTTATGAACTGTGCACTATTCAAAATGTTTCCTGAATACAGATGATTCATTTTGTCATAAATTTGGTGATGATGGCCCATGTGCAGTATGTTCAGCACTAGGACCTATGGAAGGCTGGATCATATTCAGGATAGATTTTTCAGTGACTTAGCCCTTCAACTCCAGCAAATTTCTGCTAAATGTGTGTGAACTGTGATATATTTTTTCAAGGGCATATTATATGGGCTAATTTGGGTAGATTTTCCTGGAAATGGCAAAAGGCACATTAGATACAAAGGCCACATTTCAAAGACACTTCTTTAAAAGAAAAGGAATGCTAGAGCTTCTCAAATAAAAGACTGGTGTAATTTTAACAAAGGCAAACCATATTTCCCCCAACCTCATTCTCAGAAATAGCTGAACAGTTTTGGCTGAAATTTTCCACAAATATTCTTTCTAGGTCAGACTTTCACCTTAAGAAATTTCAGTTAAAAAGATATTGGTATTCAGTGAAAGTATACAGTCAGAGATACCGCTATGCTGATAAATGTAAATTTTATAAATGAAGCAAGAAAATGACAGGACACGTGTTATACTGATGGAGTTGTCCAGGAATACAGTATATTCTAAGGTTTCTGATACATAATTTTATTGATGTCCTAATCTAATAAACTGAGGATGCTGATTTTTAAAACTAAATAAAGTTCTAATAACTGGGCTGTGCATCTCTCTCTCTCTCTCTTTCTTTCTCTTCCCCTCTCCCCCTCCCTCTCCACCCCCACTGATTTTATATCATAATCTTTCTGCAGGCTTATTTTAAAATGTCTGACAGAAGCAAACATGGCACCCCATCTTTACCTTTCCTTGACCGGAAAGCAGAAAACTTCCAAATATATTTATTTGAAAATTATATATATTTATAAGGGTTTTATTGTTTTTGTCTTGTTGTGTCTTATTGTTCTATTGTTTGCCTTTTCAATTCATGCTAAAATCTATTTTTATATCTTAAATAATTGTGCAGGCAACCATTTTCTTACACTTTTTATGGGCTGGACCTCTTCAAGCTATAGCAGTAACTGTGCTTCTGTGGATTGAAATAGGCCCATCGTGCTTGGCAGGAATGGCAATTCTGATTATTCTCCTTCCTTTACAAACTGGTATTGGGAGGCTGTTTTCTTCACTAAGGTAAGATGGACTCTTATGGTGCACATTATTGGTGCAGGTTTTGAAAGTGCATGTGCTTGGAACTTGTCATGGCAGAGTTTCTGTGGACTAGGCCCTTGGTTCAATTTCCAGTTGTTTGCCAATATTTTCAAAATGTAGCACCTAAATTAAGAGGTATGGTTTGCAGAAGTGATGAGCATCCAGCAGGTCCCATTTAAGTCACTGGGGCCCACTTGGGGGTCCAGTCCTTTTGACAATCAGATTGCTTATTTGCTTGCCTACACATGGACTTGTAAGTCTACTTATAGGTGCCAATTTTGAAAAAACTTGGCCCTTGATATCTTGCTGTATGGGCATTTAAGGACTTGAATTATTGTGGACAATATTAGTCCTCGCAACAGGAAAAAGAAAATGCCTTGATCTCTGAAGATGATAAAAGATGTTGCTGTCAGAAGGTTTAAAATTATTCTTATGCTAGGCTCCTCATCTGCAAGTATGGTACCTGTGGTTCAGAGTCAGGGAGAGTGGGAAGAGTTTTTTTTATATAATGGCTCTGTAGTAGCTTTCCAACCAGATTCAGATCTTATGGCCTTCCCTTTCCCTCCCACCCCAGCTATCTTCCTCCTCCCTAAAAATCACATATTACAGAAAATTGGATTGTTTTTCTTAAATAATAATGTTCTAGTAATGTGTTAAATTAATAACTTACTTTACAAACATATTTTGTTTTAATTAAGTATGTGTTGGCTTTGTCTGAGAATGTTATTAAAGCTTTTTAATTTGTGTTACCAGTGCATGGCTGTGAGCTTGGCCTGGCTCTTCTTTATAACATAACCTGTTACAGTGTGATTAGTTTTCTACATTGTTTTTATATAATAAAAACTGTATGGCTAGGTACTGATGTTTCTATTTGCTTTAAGATTGGTTGAAGGTAGAATTTTATGAAAATAGTCAAACTGACATTGCCTTTGCATGGGACTCAAAAGTCTGGAAATTGCCAAATTAGAATGCTGTTCCTTGTGCATATTCATTATGAGACAGTCTTCAGTTTCATGGTTGCATATTATTTCTCAAATAAAAATAGTTTTTTCCCCACAACTTTCGTTAAACATACAATGTGCTTTTCCAAGGTGGTAAGCATTATTATCCCCATTTTACAGATGGGAAAACTGAGGCACAGAGAGATTAAGTGACTTGCCCAAGGTCACACAACGAGGTAAAGAAATTCTCTTCTCTAAGGTATGTATTCTAATATTCAGTCAGTGGCCATATACTACTCAAAGTTTTTGCAATCAGCAACAGGGGAAGGAGATGTTAATGAGGAAGATCTGTATCTGACATGTGTAAGTCTCTCTTTATTCAGGAAGTGAAGCTGAAGTAAACTCCTACCCTACAGTGATTTGTAGGCATTGAGGGTACTGCATGAGCAAAAGCATCCAATGCCTATTTTTCAAGATTAGGTATTTTATTTTGTAATGTCTTGAGTAAGGCTAATTTAGTATACTTGTCATATAAATAACCTTTGTGGTCTCCGAAACACTGTATTATATGGCACTACTGGTAGTTGCACATAAACATAAACATTTATACAATATGTATGTATTATACTGTATTATTTGAAAAACAGTTTGTGATTATGAAATTGAAGACTGTATTGCAAATATATGCAGGGGAGCAATATTCAGATTGTGTGAGTAATCTTAGCATTGTAATTTTTGACTTTTTTAGGGCTTAACCATGTAATGGTAGCATTCTCTTTAAATGTTCTTTAAACATGTAATTTGTATGTGCGTAAATGAAAAAAAAAGAAAAAAATAATTTCGCTATTGGACTAAGCACCATTCATGGTATGCACTATCCCATGCACTGTATGTAGCTGGCACCATTAAAGCCAGTGAGAGTTATGTTATTGTCTTCACTGAGTGTAGACTCAAGCACTTGAAAGGACTATATGAGGGACTCTCTCATTCACAGTTTAGGAAGCCTACAGGAAACCTTTAGCTGCACAAAAAGAACTGTACCAAATTTGGTGTGAGTGCATACATGTGTTGAGCTTAGATTTGCCATTTTTAAAAATCTGAGGCCAGATCTTGTGTTGATAAAAATTATCATAGCTCCATGGCAGTCCATGAGAGAGACTGATTAATACCAGTAAGAATCTGGCCTCAGGGGTTCATGTGCAAATGTGACTTGCAATGGATAATAACTCAGCCAAATAAAAAAATGCTTCTCATTGAGGGCTATTACCATTAGGAATGTCAAATCTCATTTAATCAGTTAACCAGTTAAACAATATGTTTAACCAGTTAACTGACTAAGCAGGATACCACATGTGGGGGGCCATTCTGAGGCTGGCAACCCTTGGCCCTGTGGGGCTGCCAGTCCCCAACCCCAAGGGCTGCCAGCCACCCCTAACCAACCCAACCAAAATTCCCCAATTTAAAAAAACCTAACTTAAATCTTTTTTTCCCACAATTACAAGGAAACACTGTACTTTACTTTCCCTAGCCAAAATATATACAAGTATTAGTTTAACACAATATTTCATTAATTAGTTTATCTAATATAATTGGGACTGGGGCCAGATCAGATAATCAATAGTTTGGATAATCTGGAGAGCTCTACCTGGGCATCAGGGCTCCAACTTCAGCTGAAGCCGGAGCCAGATAGCTTGGGGCTGACAGCACAAGCTCCATCATCTGGGGCTAGGGTGGCCAGTCATGGTTCATTTAATACAGAGCGCTGGATAATGGGAACTCTATTAGGTTTTATTTCTTCACAGAATGTAGAAACAAAAGATTCTCTGTACAAGCACAAATTTGACATTTGTCCATGGCAAGTGGATTTCTGGGATCCCTGATTATAAGCAATAGGAAATAAGGGGTTAGAATCGATATGTGTAATGCAACCTAAACAACAAATCCTGCTATCATATTTTATACAGTTATCAACATGACTTTTACATTGTTTCCTGTTCTCACTCTGTTTTACTTTTTATGCCAATTTTTTATATTACTTTTGGAAATATCCCTGATGATTTTAAGACTTGAAGTGTGGAAATATAGGTAGTTAAAATTTTTCTTTCTTTAATTCTTCCTTACCAAAGGTAGGAAGTATAATAGATTCCTA